TTGCCTTTTCCCATTCTTCTTTCTCTGAGCTCGTTACAGCCTCATCATAACTCTGAGACTCACCGTCTTCAGCAACAACGGTGTATTCATCAGATGGGTATCTTGTAGAGGGTCTTCTTTCTCGAGTTGGATATCTCGACTGTTCTTCAGCTTGAGAATTCGGTTCACCATTCTCATCCCGGATCTCATCCTCAACTCGGACCTCAATGTCTTGGTCATCTTCAGCTTGTTGTTGATCATCATTTTCATCATTTTTTTGATTTTCTCCCCCTGCTTCAGCTCGGACACGAGGATTGGGTTCTTCGCGTCTGACAGTGACTCGAACTTTGGGCTTTGAGATGTCATGAATGTTCTCATCTTCATGAAAGATCACATATCGGCTTCTCACTGTCTTCTTATTGATTGGATCCCAAAGTCGAAACCCGAACTCACATCTCGGCGAACCAAGATAGATGCATTCTTTTGTCTTCGCATCGAGTTTAGCCCTTTCATCTTTAGGGATATGCACAAAAGCTCGGCATCCAAACACTTTCAATTGATTATAGGCCGTTTTCCGACATGTCCAGACTTCTTCTGGAATTTCTCCTTCAAGTGGCTGTGATAGTGAGAGCTTGATCAAGTCAACAGCTGTTTTGACGGCTTCCTCCCAGAATGATTTCGGCAATCCGACATTGGACAACATACTTCAGACCTTCTCTTCAATAGTTCTATTCATCCTCTAAGTAAGTCCATTCAACTGTCGAGTCTTGGGGGACGTCTTCTCAAATCGAATCCTGGCCGCTCTGCAGTATGCATCAAATGGGCCGCAATACTCACCACTATTGTCAGATCGGACCACCTTCAATTTCTTGCCAGTCTCCCTTTCAACCATTGCATGGAGTTCTTTAAAGGATTGGAGTACCTGGTCTTTAGACTTCAACAAATATACCTACATTTTACGAGAGTGGTCATCAATAAATGAAACAAAGTACTGAGCTCCTCCAATGGATCTTTCTGACATGGAGCAAACATCAGTATGGACGAGGTCAAGAATATACCTGCATCATCTTGGTTGATCTGGTCTCATTAAAGAAACTTTGTGCTGCTTTCCAGCTAGGAAATGCGTGCAACTCTCCAACACTTGGCCTTTCAACCCGGTCAGTAATCCTTTCTTGTTCAGAATTTGGAGCCCTTTCTCGCTCATGTGGCTGAGGCGCTTGTGCCATAACTCCAAGCTAGGTTCATCTCGAACAGAATTGGCTTCTCCTCCATTGATCTTTCCTTGCATCACATACAAGGAGCCTTCCTTCTTACCTCGAGCCACGACCAAGTTTCCCTTAGCTAGCTTTCATCTCACACTACCGAAGTAGTTCACTAACCCGGCATCATCTAGTTTGCCTACCGAGATTAGGTTCAAACGCATGTCAGGAACATGCCTTACATCTTTTAATACAAGTCGGCATCCGACATCTGTGGTCAGAGTTACATCACCGACACCAACAATCTTGCTGGTCACTTGATTTCTCATCTTCACAACTCCAAAATCACCACCTCGATAAGAGGAGAAAAAACCTCTGTGTGGAGTAACGTGGAAGGAGGCACCAGAGTCAACAATCCAGATGCAGTCATCATATGTAACATTCAAATAATTATCCTCACCAAGGAGGAATATCTCGGCATCCGGGTTGGCATCCTCCGCAGTGGTGCTCTTGTCTTCCCTCTTCTTGGGAATAATCTGATCCAGCTTCATAGAGTCGTTCTTCTCATCATTCTGCAGGGTCCAACAGTCTGGCTTCTTATGACCTGTCTTTCCACAGTAAAAGCACTTCAACTCATATTTCGGCTTTGACCGACCTCTGGACTTTTCTCGTCTGTCACGACCTCTACCCCTGCTTTTGCTTCTACTCCGGGAGTCGGATTTCCCTTTGTTCTCAGCAATGTTGGCCTCAGACGTGCTTGAAACACCTCGTTCTCTTCTCCTGACTTCTTCACTCAGGAGGCTGTCTGTCACGACATCCATCTTCAACTTTTCTTCTGGAGCTAAATCACTCAAAGTCACCACCAGAGTATCCCAGCTTTCTGGCAGCGAGCTCAACAGCAGCAAAGCCTGCATCTCATCATCAATTTTCATCTCAGCTTTTGATAGCTGATTCACAATACCTTTATAGGTGTTGAGGTGTTCAATCATGCTCATGTCGTCCTTGTATTCAAGCTTCACAAGTCGGCGAACCAGGTATGCTTTATTCCTGGGAGTCTTCTTCTGAATCATGGACTCCAGCTTCGTCCACAACTCATACGCGTTCGTGAACTCGGACACGTGCTCAAAGAGAATTTTATCAATATATTTCCTGATCGTGGCTACCGCCTTCCGACTCAGGATCTCCCACTCCTTATCAGTTTTGCCTGCCGGTCTCTCATCAAGGATAATGGGCTCATGTAAATCTTTACAGTAGAGATGATCTTCCATCATCGGTCTCCAATAGGTGAAATTATCAGCGGTCAACTTGAACATGTCACCATCATTGGTTATGCCACTGGTCTCCATCTCGTCTCCCTCAGAACCCGTCGAACTCGGGCTCTGATACCACTGTTGGGAAAAATCGGTTCCCTCAAGCTCGGCTAAGCAGCCTTTGTGCGGAAGTCAATCAACAAGATCCTGATCTCGGATCTCGGCAATACCTCGGCCTGAACTTCACCAGGTCGGCCAGCGCAACGGAAATATCAAAACGAAAAATCACAAAACAGGAGAGAGAGAGAGAGAGAGAGAGAGAGAAGAAGAAGAAGAAGAACACAACCAGATTTAACGTCGGAAAACCTTCTTCAATGAAGAAGTAAAAACCCACGGGACCTAGTCCAGATCAAAAATCCACTATGAAAATAATGGTTACAAAGAATCAAATACACCAATGTGGTGGTTAACTCAACCTCTCCAACAATGGTGATAATCAAACTACCCTAGAGATGTTTCACTCAAACTCTCTCTAGAGATCTCTCAAATGCAAAGCATAAAGCTTTGCTCAAACAATCAAATAATTATCTCTCAAATTTTCTCTCTCATTCACTTAACCTAGCATCTACCCACAACTAATGAATATATAGAGGAGGTGAGATCTAGGGTTAGGGTTTTTAGGAAACCCTTCAATAGGCTTGGGCTTAGCATTGAAGGAGGAAGCCCAACACACGACATGAATTTTTATTCGTGTCAAAATCTTCAATACTGACACGACACGAATTTTTGCGGGTTGACACGACACGACACGAATAACACACAAAATAGAGGTCAAAACGGTAATTGAAAAAAAAATTAAAAAAATGGATTGAAATTAAAATAAATTTAAAAAATAATAATAAAAAAATATAAAATAAAATAATTAAAAAAAATACGGGTCAACACGAACACGACACGAATTTTTTACGTGTCATTTTTCTTAACACGACATGATTTTTTTGCGGGTCAACCCGAACACGAATTTTCGTGTCGTGTCGCGAGTCGACCCACGTGTCATAACCTATATTGACACCCGTAGCTTTAACTAGCTGTTTGATGCATAGTATATGATAAAGCCTGATTGAATTTTAATACTATCCCGCGTTTGGCACAATATTGTATAAAATAATATCATCTAGTATTTGATAATGTACTGTATAATACTATATATGATAAAAATAAATATTTTTACTAAAAATATCTTTTAATAAAGTATTTATATAATTCTTCAAAAAATATCATATGATATTAATTTTTATAAAAATTTATTGATTAGAGTGTCCAAAATATAAATTAATTTTATAAAAATAAAAATATTCAATATTTTAAAAATTAATATATTGAAAAATTAATTTTTATTTTAATAAAAATATTAAAATAATATATTAATTTTGAAAATTACATTGGTCAACGATGTTAATACATCAATATCTTATCAGGCCTTATCCCTCACTCTTAGGCTGGATTAAGATATACATCGTTTTGATGTATTAAGACATTATGTTGTATAAGCTTATACTATACAATGATCACACCAAACAATTAAAAATATCATAACGTATAATATACTATTAAAAGACAGGAAAATAAATGTTTTACCTGGGAAAATTAACACCTTATGACCCTTCGTATGCTTGATTGTACTTAGGTTGTTAACACGATAATATTTTTAATTGGAAAATACTAATAATCAGTGCATTTAAAGATTTCAACTATTGATTTGGGGCTAAAGCACCATTTTAAAGTTTTTGGACAAAAGAATTGCCCGGTTAAAGCTGATTGCATAAGTTTTTTCGAAGTAATGCAGTCAAACATGTCACCTATGCTGACGGGACTAGTCCCGTCACTGATACTGACGGGACTCGTGCCACGTAAGCAGTCCAATTACCGTAAATTTTCGGAAGACCATAACTTGTGATTCGGGTATCCAAATCAGATGATTTTTTTTTTATTTCACATAACTTTTCAAGATCTACGCAATGACACCTCATTTGATATATTTTATCTCCCACAAACATAGTCTTATGGATAAACACTCTTGTGATTGTGATACAATTGTTACAAATTCAAACTATGTTTGTGGGAGATAAAATATGTCAAACGAGGTATCATTGCGTAGATCTCGAAAAATTATGTGAAATCAAAAAAAAAATCATCTGATTCGAATACCCGAGTCACAAGTTATGGTCTTCCGAAGATTTACGGTAATTGGATTGCCTACGTGGCGCTGACGTGGCACGAGTCCCGTCAGTATCAGTTACGGGACTAGTCCCGTCAGCATAGGTGACATGTTTGACTGCATTACTTTGGAAAAACTTATCCAATCAGCTTTAACCGGGCAATTCTTTTGTCCAAAAATTTCAAAATGGTGCTTTTCCCGTTGATTTGGTCTTCTTCAATCATCGTGGTGTGTATGTACGTATGTGTATAAATATATATATTTTCTTTGTTTTACAAGACAAGAGTGATATTATTATAAGAAAAATGGTAGGTAAATGTGTAAGAAGAATCTGAGAAGCTCGTAGCCAAGTCACAATGACACACTAATTGCTCATCACAAAGACAACCTTGATTATTCCATTGTTGACCCCTTAACCTCAAATATTAAAAAAAAAAAAACCCAAAGAACCAAAAAAAAAAAAAACACCATCTCCATCTCAGGGTTTGAGGTGGATACCATGATTGGTCGCAGAGAGAGAGAAGGACCCTTGATGAGGAACAATAGCCATTCTCTACGCAAATCAAGGGTCATAACCGCCATAGCAATTGGGGTCCTTATTGGATGCATCTTCGCCTTCTTGTTCCCTAATGGGTTCTTCGTTTCTGACTCTGCAACCCCTAATAGCCATCTTCCTCTTGCGGGATCCAAGACCCAGGTTCCATATTCATGAAAAGACTTTAGCTTTAGCTTTTTCTTTGTCTTTCAAATTTTGGGGTCTCATCTCAATCTTAGTCTCTTCAGTGATTTTCGTTGACTGGGAACCTTTCTGTTGTTATTAACTCTTTTGTCTTGCATCATTGTGGAATTGTGTTTGATCTTGCTGATTCTAGTAATTCTGGATCCATCTACCCTCATTGTAGCACTGGAGAAACAAAACAAGCTTCTTTTTTTATCTTTTGAGATTTTTTAAGTTAGTTGGTTACCTTGTCATATGTTTAGTAATGCTAGTATTCAATGTGTAGTTCGATATAGCATTTTGCCTAGATTGGTTGATTTTGAAGAAAAAAAACTGCTCAGAGATGGTCCATTTCTTTGCCTAGGGATAAAGCACTCTCCTGGATTCCATGTCAAACTGGAATTCTGTTTGTCAGATGATTGGAGTTGTTGGATGTGGATGATATTGTTAAGTTTCTCACACATGCTTAAAAGTTAAGAGGTTATCAGTGGTTTCCTTGCATAATGCATAGGCTACTGTCTTTTGTCTTTGTTTAATTGGTTTCCACATGGTTTTTCTGGGCTTATAGCATGAAGTATCTTTCTGTATGAAAGAAGGGCCTTGTGGCATCACAAGCATAATTTTCATTTTGTTTTTTGGCAGGAAAATTCAGCTGGATGTGAATCCTCAGATCGGGTTAACATGTTGAAATCAGAGTTTGTGACAGTATCAGAGAAAAATGCTGAGCTGAAAAAACAGGTGAGGAAATTGACTGAAAGGCTTCGACTTGCAGAGCATGGGAAAGACCAGGCTCAAAAGCAGTTTCTTGCATTGGGTAAACAGCATAAAGCTGGACCTTTTGGTACTGTCAAGGGATTAAGAACCAACCCTACTGTTGTTCCTGATGAATCTGTGAACCCAAGATTGGCAAAGATATTAGAGAAAGTTGCTGTTAACCGAGAGTTTATAGTTGCACTTGCGAACACCAATGTGAAGGAGATGCTGGAGGTCTGGTTCACCAATATCAAGAGAGTTGGTATAAAAAATTATCTAGTTGTTGCTTTAGATGATGAGATTACAAAGTTTTGTGAATCAAATCAAGTCCCAGTGTATAAGAGAGACCAGGATAATAGTATTGATTCCATTGGAAAAATTGGAGGGAACCATGAAGTCTCTGGCCTTAAATTTCGGATTCTAAGAGAATTCTTGCAATTGGGATATAGTGTTCTTCTATCAGATGTTGACATTGTATATTTGCAGAACCCTTTTAATTATCTGTTTCGGGATTCAGATGTGGAGTCAATGAGTGATGGTCATGATAACATGACAGCTTATGGCTATAATGATGTCTTTGATGAACTTGCAATGGGTTGGGCTAGATATGCTCACACTATGAGGATATGGGTTTACAACTCTGGTTTCTTCTATATAAGACCAACAATCCCTTCAATTGAGCTTTTGGACCGTGTGGCAACAAGACTTTCAAAGGAGAAGGCATGGGACCAAGCTGTTTTCAATGAGGAACTCTTTTACCCTTCACATCCTGGTTATGATGGGCTTCATGCTGCTAGAAGAACTATGGATTTCCTTCTCTTCATGAACAGCAAGGTTCTGTTCAAGACAGTGAGGAATGATGATAGACTCAGCAAATTGAAACCAGTAATTATTCATGTGAATTATCACCCTGATAAGCTTCCACGTATGAAAGCAATTGTTGAATACTATGTTAATGGGAAGCAAGATGCTCTAAAACCTTTCCCTGAAGGCTCAGAATGGTAAACTTGCTTCTGCATGCAGCTGGATATTCATTCTCTTGGCGTCTTAATTGTGCAAAACAGTTTTATAGTAGATTTTATTGGTGATAAAGCATACACTTGTAGGTCAAAAAAGATATCATTTTATGAGCACATTGAGTTATGCTTTTGGCCCCATTCTGAGATGGTTTAGTTTTCTTTTCTTCCTTTTTTTTTTGGTTTCTTTCGCTTGCTCTAGGTGGGGCTTACATAAGATTTCTTCTGTAACATTTGTTGTTTGTTAATTTAAAGTTTTTTTTGTTGTTGTTGTTGTTGTTGTTTGTCTCAAACCCGTTTACGCATTGGAAAACACATAAATCAACATCATGTGAGGTACAACACAGTGGGGGTGATGGAATTGTAATAATTTGTGGAACTGTCATTTGCTGATGCTCAAATCTGGAGTTCACGAACTTCGACTCCACCAGCAGGTCCTTTAACATTGAATGAAATGAAACAATAAATTTATTAAATCATAATATGCATTGACATAATTAATAAATTTAGTATTAAGTAACAAATAATAATAATTTAAATTTATATAAATAACTAATAATAAATATAACATAAAAATAAAATAATATACACTACAAAAGTTATTATTAAAAAGTATTAATTAAATCCAAAATTACTAATCTGAATATAATTAGAGTTGTATAGTGTGTGAAAAATACCAGAGTGAGAGAAAATTAGAGATGTGACAGTGTGAGTGAAAAGAAAGGATAGAGGGTTTAGAAAGAGGATTTACTAAACTTGGTATTCTTTTTTGCTAAATAGGAAAAATGTCGTTCGACTTTAATCCATTCTTTTATTCGTATTTCTCTTTCAGTCTTAATATTTTATTCCTTTTAGGTGTGATATGGGTATTCCAATAATACCAAAATGTCTCGTGTAGCATTGCATGCAATTTTTTTTTATTTTTTTTTTGAGTGATACTATTTCAGAACCACCTCATTTTGAAAAGTGATTTTTTAAAATAATTTTAGAAAAAAAAAAACGACTATTTATCATCCTATTTTAGCGTCGCGTGGAATAACCCATTTTGAAAAGTAATTTTTTTTAAATATTTCTTATTATTTCGAAAAAAATACCTATTTTCTACAACATCATCCCATCTTCCTTTCCATAAATGTTTATTAAAAAATGCAATTGAAAGAGAGAGAGAGAGAGAAGTAACTTAGTTTTCTTTTCAAATAATTATATTTGTTCATTTGGTATCATTTATTTTCACTTTTAAATCATTTTTAGGGGTGAAACAAATAATTTTAGTGTATTAACAATTAACACAATTAACTGTAAGGAAACCAATTTAAAATGAATATATTGGATACAGTGAAATTTAAGTTTTCATCATTCTTTGCACATAATCATACTATGAAACTTATCTCAATTTATTAAAAATAAAATTGAAAAAAAAAAAAAAAAGGGAAGAGAGGGGAATAGGGACTTGCAGGCTACATATACAAACAAAAATTAGTATATGTGGTAAATATCTGAAAGCAACTGCAGAATAACACTGCTATGGCCCTTTTCATTTACTTATATTTTGAGTAGAGTCTGGCTTGTAATGTCAAATGATAGATTCTGATAAGTTGTAAATTGCTTCTTCAACTGTTGTTTCAGCCTCCACCGCCACCAGAGGTAGGCTTCTTGTTCATAAGATTCTTTACTGATTCTAGCCCATACTTCTCAATGAGTTCTTCCTGTCCCCACAACACACCAAATCAGATGCTAGAATTATTAGTTATCTTGCTAAATAAAGCACAACAGAGAAAGGGAAGAAAGTGGAGAGATTCTTCGCTCCTCCCAACACCAGGAGTAAGGTATGCCATGTATCCAAGTTGAGAAAAAATTTGTTTATATTTTAGTTTTCTGTATGTAATTATATATATTCAAACTGCTTCAAAGAAAGAACATAACATTGAGACCATTCAAGTTTTTGATGTGATTCTAAGTACTTCAGTCGGTCAACTTAAAAAATTGAAAATATAAGGATTCAAATGTCAGACCAGTATGGAATCATTTTCGTTTGTGAGCACCACACACTCCTCAGAAAGGCGAAGAAGCTTATTCTTGAGCTTAGAATTTTTGACACTAAGATTCTCCGCGGTTTTACGTTGCTCTTCACATTCTTTCTGCCAAAGTAAGACGTAGAAATAATGAAAAACATTATATGAAAGACCAACTTTAAGAAAATAACAGAAGTTTCAACAAATATTATATGTTTACCTGTTTTTGCATCCTGGATCTCCTAGCTGATTCCCTATTTGATTGCCTCTTTTTTTGTTTTCTTGTTTCACTACCTTCCTGTCAAAGTAAATGCAGCTCAGCAGGAGATAGTATGCATCACTAAGAATTTAATGGAGCGACCTTAATAAGGATATACTTTCTGTAGTACACATCTCTGTAGGCTGTATATGGAAGATTAATTATAAAATGGTGGTAGCATTTTTTGGAAAATGGCCGTAAGTGAAGGGAATGAAGTTGGAAAGAACAAAGAAAATGCAAAATTAAACATAAATTTAGAGAAGCCAAAGATATAACTTATTACAAGATCACTTGCAATACAAGCAGGAAAACATAAAAGGAGCAGTAACACTGCAGATGCCCCTCCAACAAGCCACCCATGGTGGAATGGATCACGTAGATTTAATGATACTTAAATAAACCAGACCATAAAGATGGTGTAACTAAAAGGAGTATTTAGCAAAATCAAAGATGGAAATCAGTGAAGTTAATCTTAGTAATGTGTCCATGGGGCATCATATGCATGAAATTCTAAACCAGAAATATTTTAATATCAAAATTAGATTCCCCTTTTTGACTCAGTCCTGTAAAATTTGTAAGTCCAGACTTCCTTCCAAGGTAATTATAAATGGTCTATTGTGAAGAATTTTTTATTTTTTATTTTTGGTGAATGTAAAAGAGTTTTTTAGCTTTAGGGAATCTATACGATATATCATTAACAGGAAAGGGGAGGTAGTCAATGTCATACTTTCTTCCTTTTGGTTGCTTTTTTAATGAATTTCAACATTGATCATTGATCATTAATCATTGTTGTTAAGAGTGTTAGTGTTAATAGTGTAGAAGTCCCACATTGAGTGTGTCTCTTTGTATCAATTGGCTTGCTATATAATAGCACCAATGTTGTGTAGTTTAATACAACAAGGATTACTATCATTTCCTCTTGTATCTGTGATATTCAACATGGTATCTAGAGCCTAACGAGGAATCTTAATCCGTCTAACTTAGTTCTATTTTCCATAATTTCAATATGGTTATAGAGAGATATCACCCTCCTTGAGGGATTCCCGTTGCTATTTCTTTTTCGAGTTTTTCTTAGTATGCTCTGTGATTGCAGCTTAGACTGGTCTGTCACATCAGAAAAGAATGATCCTTGGGAAGTTGTTGGGTTGACCACCGTTGACAGCCGTCTCCGGTGACTTTTCCGATGACTTTCCGGCGACTTTTTCGACGATCCACCACCGTCTCCGACGACTTTTCCGGCGATCCACCGTCGTCTCCGGCGACTTTTCCGATTCCGCGAAGCTTTGTTTTTCTTTAATCTTCTTTCTTCCCAAGATGGAGTATTTATACTATTCATCATCCATCTTGAGGGGGAGCACTGTCCAAGTTGCTGATGTTGTCTCCGCTGATGTTAATTCCGACACCGAAGTTCCTCTTGAGGAGGAGCACTGTCCATGTTGCTGATGGTCATTCCAGCACAATTGTCTTTATCGATGATATTTTCGGCACTGTTTAGAAGTTCCTCTTAAGGGGGAGCACTGTCCTGTAGGAAATCTTAGATTTATGCGGAAGCGGTTTAGGACCTAGTACATTGGTATGCTTACCGAATCATCCTTGTTTCACAATTACCTCTCGGTGCGCAGGTCTCGTGTAGAATCTTCCCTTGTAGGATTCCTCTTCACGAACAGCTCACCTCAGCGCCGCAGCACGAACAACCTCCTTGAAGCTGGACTGTGGCAGATCTTCCAAACTATCTCTCGAGGAGGAAGGGGAAGTGTGTGGGCACTGATTAGATTCTGATCTTGCCTCTTTCTCACAAAAAAGACCTTGGAGGCTGATGACTTAAGAGGTACTATTTATATGGGTTCCAAGAAACCCTAGCTCATTGGGCTCTAGGTTCCTTGGGCTCTTCTCATACTAATAACCCATTTGGGCTTTAGTAAAAGAGCAAACCCAACAATCTCCCACTTGCTCTTTTGGATACAAACTTGAGTCGTAAAACCCAAGATCATGTAACCCATAAGTCATCATCTATCCGAAAAATACCCCATCCCTTGTCTCAAGCTAGCTTGGGGATCTACCATCTGTTATTAATCAGGGCTCCTGATAATCAACGAATGATTATCTAATTCGGTGTTACTCCACTAAAAGCCCGAACTTGAACTCCAAGATTAATGATCTTTATAACATGAATATGCATCGCCCCTTTGTAGAATGTCTATAATTGATTGACAAGTTTTCTGTAACTCAATCAATTATTTATTCCCTTGACTATGATAGTTTCTTTAATGGATTACATGCACTGGCCAGTGTCTTTAATATCCAAGTACCGAAACATATCAAGGGGACATATCCTACAAATTCCATGTTGTTTATCTCATAAATACCGATAATCAAATAATCTCACTCCCAAAATACCGAGTTATTGGCCGTCAATAGATCGAACCTCACCCGTTGGTAAATCAAAGAATGAAAACTATTTGATTACCTATTTATAATAAACTCAGGATTAAGAGCAATCACATAACTATAGTTAACTAGAGATTTGATACCTTATGACAGAAAAACAACCTTAATCAAATCTCTCCTTGATCCTTTCAATGTGAATGTTAATTCACACCAATATTTTACAATGATTCGAACAAAATCATTTCATAAAATATTGCAGCCTGAATAAAGTGCCCAACTTTATTTAACGGCTGTGACTCCATTCATCAATTGTGAGAACCTATGATCATGTCCTCCATGAACGTATCCATATGATCATATACTTCACAATTTGATCCGGACCTTTATGTTTGTAAATAGGGCGCAAAATAAATAAATAAAACCTTATTTATGAAATTCAGAAAATTATTTTATTGTTTCATCGTCTTACTCCAAGAGCACAATGAAACCAATAACTCCCACTTGCTTAATGCAAGTCTGGGATCCTCCTAAGACCCAAAGAAGT